TCGATCCTTTTTCTATGCTCTGTGATTATAATATATATTATATCAGTAGTTTCCCACAGGAAAGGAATGAATGTTTCTGTATCTTTTGAACTGATGTGGAATTTTTAACTTAGCCACTGGAACGTCGATCTGAATTTACTCTTACTCTAGACTATGCAATATTGGTCATCCATTTTATTCTTTGTTATTATATATATATATATATATATATATATATATATATATATATGTATATATATATATATATATTAAACCGAAGATTTCAAAGTTAATTTAATCGCATGGTAATGTTGGTTGTAGAAAAACAACCGGGAAAGTCGTCTATTGCATATTAAAAAATTTAGTTTTGAATACCACATATCATGTTTAAAATAAATAGATCATTGTACTTCAACCGATCAGGTAGAAGGTAGAATTCAAGCCTCATAATTCGAAGGTAAATATCACCTGATGCAGGTAACACTGTCTAGTTTCATAATAAGATGAGACAGCTGTTAACTAATATTCCAATATATGTAAGTATTATGAAAGCCAACTTTCAGTAAACAAATTCATTTAAATTAGCTAAGCAGATCTAGACAAAAATAATTCGCCTGTATCGTTTGTATTTGTCTGCATACACCATTTATAAAGTTTATCATAGGTGATCATATTTACCGTCTGATCTTTACATCTTTATGGTCCGATTAGCAAAGTTATTATCTATGTTGATTTAATTCACCGCTTGCAGATCTTATCAACTTTCCTTATCATGATTAATCGACGCGATACTGTTATTAATTAAACAATCTACAATGTTCAAGAATTTGCATGTGCAGCTTTAATCTAAATGTGTATTTTGTATAAAAATGTGGAACCCTAAAACATACTTTACAACAGTTAATCTTATATTTTTAATGACAAGCATTTAAAAATAGAAACATATTAATTGTTACAAAAGCAGTTAATGAATAATTAAACATTATTACTACGACAGTTTGCGGCTATAGTAGGTTCATATGATATTCATTCATTTAGAAATTGGTTTGATCACCATTTTTGAATAAGGGTTTCAAAACATCTTAAAATGCATTAGAATCTTGTATCAAATTTCCCCTTTTGTGGAAGTCATCTAATCATGTAAAAACAGTCAGTAGGACCTCTTATCAGTACACATAAATTTATAGCCATATTACAAAAACCTTATTATGATAGGAACTTTTCCCAAACCTAGTTTCATCAATATATTTTGGTAAATGATTAGTTACTAGAATGTAACTAATATAATTCTGTATGCTTCACAATACTAGTCAATCTGAAGGAAGCTCAGATTCCTGAACACATTTGGTTCTGTGTTTCATAATTTTGAAATACAAAAGTGTCATCATTATTGATTTCATATGATTCTGAAAACAATATTTGGAATTTGTGTTCAACTAGTTATTTATTTTGCATTAAAATAGTTTCCAGCATTATCTTCTACTTAAATAAATAAAATATTTCAAATTATAGGCTTTATAATACATGGGAATCGGTATTGATCCAAAGAAATTTATGTTACCTTTTTTTATTTAAAAATTACCTGTAAATTTTAGATGCTGTTTATAACTTTCAAGTATATTTGATTAATTTAATCCAAGCAGGAAGCCATTTGCTTCAATCTTTCTTTTTCTAAAATACTTTACATGTGTTAATGTCCTAATAGAATCACAGGTTGGAAGTTATATAAGTTGTGTAACAGTTATAAAATAGTGTGATTACACGTATTTTCTTAAAAAGTTTAATAAATTGGCATGTAATCTAGCTGATACATTTATTAGTGCTAAAAAGTCGTTCATTTGTATTTGTTTTACCAATATTCAACAATACTTACTTACTTACTTACTCCTGTTACCTCTCTCGGAGGAGCATAAGCCACTCACCATCGTACTCCATCCAACTCTGTCCTGGGTAATTCTTTACTATTCTTTCCAGTTGCTATTCATCCTTTTCATTTTCGCTTCCAATTCTCAACGAATTGTGTTCTTTGGTCTTCCTCTTTTCCGTTCCCCTTCAGGATTCCAATTTAACGCTTGCCTCGTGATGCAGTTTGGTGATTTCTGTAATGTATTTGCTACACACACCGAGCGTCTTTCCCTAATTTCTCTTTCAGCTAGAAGGTCGTCTGTTTTCTTCATCAGTAGGCTGTTGTTAATGGTATACGGCAAACGGACATTGAGTATTTTGCGTGGACAGTTGTTTACAACTACTTGTATCTTCTTGATGATGGTTGTAGTAGTTTTCCAAGTTTCAACTCCGTATAGTAGAACTGTCTTGATGTTCGTATTGAAGATTCTATCTTTGATATTGGTTGACAGTTGTTTTGATTTCCATATATTCTTCAATTGTAGGAATGAGGCCCTTGCTTTGTCAATCCTCGCCTTTACATCTGCATCTGATCCTCCATGTTCATCGATGATGTTTTCCAGGTACGTGTTAAATTCCACATCACCAAGAACTTCTCCATCAAGTGTGATTGGGTTGGTGCTCTCCGTGTTTTATTTGAGGATCTTGCGTTTCCCTTGTGTATGTTAAGGCCCACTGCTGCTACACTGATTGTTTTAACCCGAATTTGTTGATATGTTTGGGAGAGAAGGGCTAGGTTATCTGAGAAGTCCAAATCGTCTAGTTGCATTCAACCTGTCCACTTTATTCCGTGCCCCCCCCCTGAGTTGTGAAGGTCTTCATAATCCAGACGACAATCAGAAGAAAGAGGAAGTGGGAAAGTAAGCAGCCTTGTTTGATTTTAGTCCTCACTTGGAATGCATGTTTCAGCTGCCCTTCACGCATCACTTTGCAGTGTAGTCCATCGTATGAATTCCGTGTGATGTTGACGATTTTTTCATGTACTCTATGGTGTCGAAGAAGTTTCCATAATGTTCTCTTGTCCACATTGTCAAATGCTTTTCCATAATCAAGGAAGTTGATATGTAGTGACGAATTCAACTCAACTAATTGTTTAACGATGATCCATAGTGTAGCGATTTGGTCTGTGCACCACCGATCTTAACAGTATCCAGCCTGTTGATTTCGAAACTGGGCGTCTAGTGAATTTTCCATCCGGTTCGGCAACAATCTGTTATAAACCTTTCTTGGCACTGACAGAAGTGTAGTGCTAGTGTACTTCTCACATTTGATTAAATCTCTTTTCTTTGGTATCTTAATGAGGTTTCTTTCTTTCCAGTTTGTTAGTGGCACTCGTCCATCCTCCCAAATTTTCTTTAGCTTTAGTTTCATCTTGGCAACCAGCAGATCGTGATCTGAAGCTATGTCAGCCCTTTTCTTTGTTCTCACGTTTTCCATTACATCCTGATTCTTTTAGTAATGCAAATATGGTCTATTTGGTTGTCCATGGTGTGGTCTGATGAGACCCACATATCTTTGCGTATGTGTTTGTGGGAAAATATTGTGCCACCAAATATTTTGCATATTTTTTAAACTAATTAGATAATTTTATTTAAATTTCGAATACTTGTCAGACTTCTATGTCTTATTCTACCGATAGAATATTGACTAATATACAGTTGGCAATATACTTGCTTTTTGTATATTTTAATAGTTTGTGACAAGGACATACTTTATTTAAAAAGGAATATAAATAAGTAATCATTAGTATTATTTTTTAAAGGAATTCTTATGTTATACAGTGATTTACATCAATAGACTTAATCATATAAATTATTTCATTCAGGGGTTTGTTTTCAGTGTACTTCTGTTAGTCATAATCAAAAGATTGGGTTGTTTGATTGTTTATATGGATTTTAGAATACTACTAAGTGCCGAATACTGGTTGTTTAGATATAATTAATAACTGAAATAGACTTCACATGACTATTCATGGAGCAACAACAATTCACTATCAATTAATATTGTACAATTCTATATATATATATGAACAATGTCACCTAAAAATGGTCTAAGAAAAAGTTTATAACATCAAATTCTTAGTGAATTCAGTGTAATTCTGTTAAGAATTTACTTCCGAGCTGTTAACAATTTAATATCACTTCAAAATAAACGTTAATATAGCAAGTCAAATACATTCAAATATAATTTTATACATTCTATACATTTTTAATATTTAAACTGTATTTCAAATAATAGGTAAGTTTAAAAGTTATCTATCATTGGTTTTTCATGGTGGTCTAGCTTCAATTGACTCATGATTTCAACTATTGAAATTTCTAAAATCTCCACAAAACCCCTTCTGATAATAATCATTTGCTCACTAGTGACTGACTTCAAGAGGTATTTCCTGGAGTTCTAATGAAAAGCCGTTACCAGTGGAGTTCAACCAGGTCTGTTGTGAGGTATCAACTCACTGAAGACAGTGGTGTACCGTGGCGCAATTTCGTGGATTAGTTGAAGTTAGACGTTAACACTGTTGGATACTGGTCAGCTCAGTGGTCTAATCGTTAAGCGGTTGCGCGCAAGACTGATAAGTTCTGAGTTCGAATCTTCCGAGGAGCAAGATCGTGGACTAAACGACCATAAAGTGCTTTCAGGTTTTCCATGGTAGTCTAGCTTCAATTGATTAATGATTTCAACTATTGAAATTTGTAAAATCTCCACAAAACCCCTTCTGATAATATAGTAGTTGATTTGTTAATAAATTATTCTTAGAAATATTTAAATTATAATCAAAATCAACCACTGATCTTCTACAATTAATCCACTAAGAAATGAAATTAGGAAAAGAAAAAGAACTATATTTAAGTTTTATTTCATTTATAATCAGGGTAACCAAATAATACAAGAAATCAAAGCTAAGAAATTATTGATGATATTACATCTTCATACTTAAAATCTTATAAAATCAATAGAATAAAATACAATATTACTTCATAGTAATTTTTTTCTAGGAAAATGTTAATATTTTATAAATTTAAATCAATAAATTATTCTTTTTTCTCCAATTATTCATTATGTTCTACTTTTTTTGTTTAATTCTCATTTCTTTATTCAATGTTCATTAATTATAGACGTAAAGAAATGTTTCATAAAGAAATATCATAGAAATAATTCACTTCAACGATGTATAATGAATAACTCTTTTGAGGATTTCAATAATACATTATCATATCATCCATTATACGTTAATACCACTATTAATAATAATAATAATAATAATAATAATGAATTAATCAATTTCGATAACAAAACGTTATTGAAAATTCAAAAAGTAAGTGATATTTATTTGAATAATGTTTTGTTTTGAACTAACATTTTTGTTTTCTACTTTTATTTTAAAAGTTACTAATTTAGTGACATAACTTCTAACAAATAAATGATTGAATATTTATTATCTATTATCATCAAGAAATGGGTTACGTTAGATTAGATATACATAAATATACCTTGACGTGGTGGTTGAGCTTGCCTATCATGATGAAACAACCGAGTTATACTGACTGGAACAATTGTTCCTCAAGGTCCTACCATGCTAAACAGACTAAAAGCAACAAACCGAAGGTCTGAAGGCGAAGCCGTACTGCTGACTATACAGAGTTGTGACAGCAGTAAGGTGCTTCCCTCAGACAACCAGTATGACAGCGATTCTGCCTTCTCACAAGGGAGGGTGGGGTTAGAAAAGATCGCAGGGTATTAGGAAAGGATGGTAAGGCGGTTGATCAGGTTGTGAATCTTGATCAACAGATATTTTTGGGTCACGTGTTACGTATGCCTGAACACCGATTACCCCGACGCACAATGATAACCGGTGTTAAGAATAATTGAAAGAAAGTTAGGGGCGGCCAAACCAAAACGTAGCATCAGTGCTTGAAGTCACTAACGTCTAGTCTGAGCCATGTTGGTAGATGCAGACGACTTGGTTGGGACCCTTATGACTCTCATAACCAATGGTTGGAGACTGTGGGTAACATGGCTCAGAATCGACCACAATGGCGTAGGTGTATACACTTTCTGTCTTCCATCAAACTATGAGATTAAAATTATTTCATATCTTTCTTTCTACAAACTAATCCTTTCTCCTTGTATCATGTCCTTATACAAAATCTTCCTTACCACCATTGAATTAACTATTTCATCTTGTTGTGCCAATGAGATATGGCAACTTGGACCAATGCATAAATTTACCTGGTCCTATGTTGCAGCTGACTGACTGATATATATAGGATGTACATAATTAGCGAATAACTTTTTCTCATTAGAATTTTTAAGTAAAACGACCATCTTCTTAGGAGCTTAATTCAGATGATAATATGTAATTCCACTATATATTTTCATAATTTCATTATATTGATCAAGCAACATTTAATCTGTGAAGGTGATAAAGTATACTTAATTCACTCTTTTGTCTTGTGAATAGAAAAGACAAAGATTTAAGCATGATAAGTTTATTTTATTTTATCTTGTTAGGTTCTCTGTCTTTAGTTATTTGCAACCTATAATATTTCAAAATCAAAACCTTTATTATAGTTAACACATATGTATACTAGTGAAATTGGTCAAATATGAAGTGCAATTCAAATAAAGTTAATGGTTTTTATTTCGATCATCTCTCCTGTTAACCTGATTCTTGATTTTATATTTGTTTTATAATTTGTCCAATTGGCTGATAAGTTTTGTATGTTTTAATACGTTTATTGATTGCTGACTAACTTCATTGCTGAGCCTCAAAAGCTCTTTGGTCTTGTTTATGTTGCCTTTGTTCGAGATTTCAATGGTGTCTCAGTCGAATGCGCGTTTATGGTTTCTCAAATGTTTTAATATAAGTAGAGGTATGTCATGGAGTTCAACAGTCTAGTAGTGTTCATGTAAATGAAGATAAACGGCGTGGTTAGTTTGTCCTATATAATTTCTGTCTCAGTTGGAACAGTTTATTTTGCTAATGATTTCCTTGATATTTACTCTTTAAGTTTATATGATAGCAAAGTGATTTTGTTGGCTTATGGGTAATTTCTATTCATCAAAGCCTCAAATGTCTGGCCTTACTTTTTGATGTATCTTTCATCTATGACAGAATAACCTGATTGTTAGTTTCCAAAATTTGTGTTCAAATGATAAGTTCGACAAACATTTTTACGAAGTCTTCTCTTTTGAAAAAGAGTCATTAGGTTTCGCTGTTCACTTTTCCCTGCAGTAGGTGAGATACAGTGTCTTCAGTTTTTGTACAAGGTGTGGACGCTGCTGACTTTATAAATCCTTTATGCTGAATAATTTCTACATTGGAAGCTTTTATGATGTGATCACATAACTAAGTGGAGTGAAACTATTACATTTTTTTTGAAGTTATGCGTTTTGCAAGCGTTAGTGGGAATCCCTATGGGATTTGAACTATGTTATTTTGTGTTATAATCTCAAAGGCTACCTTTGAGATCTTGTACGTTTGGCAGGCATATTACCGGCATAAAAGTTTACACTAGTTGTTTACTGTGTTACATCAAAATTTTTCAATAAGCTAAACATATTCTGACGTTTTCACTACCAAAGTATGACTTTATCGTAAAGGTACAAATTCATGGTTATATTACAATATCTTTTCATTTCTTCAAAATGGTATCAAATTTCATTAAGTCATTACGTAACATACAGAAACAATCGTTAAAAGTTTACTTATTGATCATAAATATAAATGTGATTAACACATACATTCTTAAAACTATTTCTTTGATAAATATTAAGATTATGTAGATTCAAATAAATACCCTTTAACATCTAGGTGTCCATGTATGATGCTTTTGTTTCTCAGTAATGAGTGAGACAAATATATTCTGTATTTAATGAATTAAAATTGACTTTTCGTTAAAATCAAATAGCATGAAGTAATCTGTTATTTTATACACTTTCAATTTTAACCAGACTATCGAATTTATTTAATTTCTCCGCTTACATTATAAAGTATTATTCATTTATAAAGATTTAGCACATGTTGCGTTACACCTTACAATTCTAAATGTAGATTATTCACTACAAAGTATTACCTGCTGATCAATAATTTATTAGAGTAAAATGAATTTTGATCCATTGTTGTAATTATTCGGTTATATTGATCGCAATAACAGTTCAATTGATTATGTCTCACGATTTAATGTAAAACCTGAGTTTAAAGAGCACTATGATGATTGACTCATAGTTTAGTGAGTACTACCTCAACAAATCTTTGTAAATTTTTACAATTTGAAGTGAACGTTTACGAAAGTGAAAGTAAACGGTTTAGAAACTTCGGTAAAATGGTAGTTTGTTTGATTTGTTAAAACGTTAATTTTCATAGAATAAATGTAATGTTGCTAGCAATAGAATCCAGGACACGAGTCTTATTCTATTTAGGCCTTATCAGCTAGGTACACCTGCATTCTAGTGTAAACGTCCACTACAAGATAAGAATCCAGTCCCGTTCGCTTTGAATGATACCACGTTTTCAATAATAGTATAATCCAAGTTATTTTAACTTAAATGTATTCTTGTGTTAATTTTCTCTTAGAAATGCATAATCATCTTCTTTCAATTATTCCTCTCATCTTTCTTATCACATTTTCTTCTTAAACCTTCTTTCTACTTTTATCATTGAACATTAAACTTTTAATAAGTAGCCTAAGAATTACTTATTATATAAACAGGTAGTTAATGATATTCGTTCAGTTAATAAGCTCAGACTTTAAAAATTAAGATAAAGAAGGAAAAATCTGAATGCGCTATTTAATAGACAATCATAACTGTACTCTTATTAATAGTCAGTAAACGATCCCTGATCAGATATTTATATAAACTTCAAATTGCCAATAAACTGAATAGATTTTTCAAAAAGTTTGAATTCATTAGATTATATAATAGATATAAGTAAAAATATAAGAGAAATGTGTCAGTACATTTAGTTACGTATTAGATCCTACAGTTATAAATCCAAATGAATGATCTAAAGAGATAGTCATCTTTAAAGTAAATATATCTTTTAACAATTACAGAGTACTAGTATTATTATTTTTCATAATTCTTTATATTATAACCATAATTATTACACTTGTGAACATACAAACAATCCACTGAATGATCATGCTATTTTAATTAATTCCCGTCATTCTACAGATATTGTATTATTCAATCAAACATTTGATTGGATTTGTAATTACATAATTATCTCTCTCATCTTATATGATTCATATTTATTCTAATTAATATTAATTTCATAATTTCAACTATTGTATAAACCTATTCAATGTTAACATCATATACCAGGTATTGCAATAATAATAATAATAATAATTTTATGTTATATTACAAACAATTCTAAATTCACATGTAATTTCAAAAAGATTAATCTACTTTAAACTTGGCCATTCTTTTAGAATATTAGCTCAGATAGATAATTGTAGAGTCTGAAACAAATTTATTGAGAAGCGTATTCTTCATTTATACATCAGTGTTTTGATATGATGACAATTTTTAAACAAATAAAGTATTTTAGTGGCCTGGTACCTGACTCTAGTTATATTGTATGAATGATTGCTGTCGAAATATATATATATATATATATATATATATATATATATATATATATATATCGTCAATCCTCGTTAGTGAATAACGAAATTAAATAAGCCAAATACGAGAATGGATTTTTGAATGCATATATTTTGAACACTCATTGATTAGAATAGACAATCAGAGAACCGCAGCAAATGACGCGAAGAAGAGTGAGCGAAGCGAAATGAAAGGACGCACAGTGTAGCCAACTCCATTTAATCAAGTGTTAATCGATATTTATAGCTAGATAAAAATAGGTTACAGAAATGTACACACATACGCTCAGATAGAAACAGTCAAGGTTGATAAGCAAATAATTAACAAGGTCAAAATGTAACTCAAGAAGAATGGATAAATTGGCCTGTCCAGAAGCCATAAACCAGAGTTTAAATGAACTCTTTCAGCTTATTTTGAGATGAATTTTAAGTATTATCCTCTTTTAAAGTAAGTAACGAAAATTGATTTAGATTTCCAAATATTCGTTGCTAACCTCATAATAGTATCAGATGCGACTACAAACGTGAACAATATCATGTCTGTCTAATCCATTAGTTCTAGTCGAATTCTATTGATTAAGATGTAATATGGGCACTTGTCTAAGTGACTGGACATCAAGTAAACTCTGTTGAAATGTTTGACGTTTACAAATGGTCTGCGGGGAACCCATAACAACAAATTTTGTGGTACTTGAAACACTTC